GTACAAAATTTGGGGTTATTTTTGGTGAAAATAGGGTATCGGGCCTTGGTTCAGGAATGAATCCCCCATTTATAACATTGTTTCTTCTGAGAAAATTGGTTCTGAGTTACGACATTTCGACTTGAGATGTGGTTTTCAGGAACCAATTGTGTCGTAAGTCCAAGGGCTGCCTGTAATATAACCCAAAGTAGAAGCCTGTAGGTTGTAAATGCACAGGTGAATGTTACGGAAGGCACGTGGAAATGATTCCCCCCCCCTTTTTTTAATAGAGGAATTTTCAGCCATTTTGTGCAAAATGATCATTGGCCTTAAATAGGCACTGGAGCTGGTCAGCACTAGGTCTGGTCCCAATGGTGCAATGCTGCATGGAAGGTAAGATTGGGAGGAAATATTCCTTCCTGATCCTTTGCAGGCAGTTGGCAGATGTGTGAGATTTGGTTACTCGTGTATCCTAACTTGCATGCAAATGACATTATCAGTACTGGTTCTCAAAAGAATTTGGCGTTAGTGTTTCTCTCTATGGCCTCTGCACAGACTGCTCCGTTTCTGGTGCCTTTGGGAGGTAGGCACCAAGCTCCTTGCAATCCTGAAACTCCCAACCAACAAGCTGTTTGTCCACTATACTGCGCTGTGTGCACTGTAATATAACCTGAGCCCCCTTCCTGCTTCAGGGTATGCATCCTCAGGAAGCTATTACTTCACTTCTCCTTTCTTTCTGAAGGATCAGAGGTGGCATTTGACCATTGCGAAAGGAGCTGCTCCTCCCACCTGGCAGCTGGCTAGAGCCATCCCTTGGAAAACAGGAGTGACCTCATCTCTGAGTGGCACGGATATGAGAAGGCTCCAGCTTGTTGGTGGACACAGTAAAAAAGAACAGCTCTCATGGCCAGGAACAGCTGATAAATCATACATGAGACATGGAAAGTTAGCATGAAGATGGCACTTGCCTGGGAAGAAGTCAGGGAAAACTGGCAAAAAACACTTGGGCTTTTCAGAGCTCATTGTTATAAAAGGGGAAGTGAGTCAGAATGTAGTGAGGTGCTGTTTTTCTGGCTAAATACAGTAATTAGTTTACATCCTGTAAGGACATTAGAAATACCCAGGAAAGGTCAGACTTCCAGCCTCTTTGCTGGGACGGCTCTCCCCGTCTGGCTTAGATGCCTTCTTGCCTAGGCTTCTCTCCTCAGGTTCCAAGATCCATTTTTTCCTTGGCTTCCTGGAGTCCTTTGTGCTAGCACATCGTCTCCTCCAGGGCTTGCCAATGTTAGGAAGCTATTTTAATAGAGACATTTGGAGGCAACAAAGGCTGCAGATGTACCTTTTAAATCCAATGGAGGGCAGGAGACTTATAAGGATCATTGAGAGAAGGAGGTTGAAAAAATGCTAATTCTTTTACTGAAAATTAGGGCTAGTCTCTAGGTTAATAATAATCAATAATTCTGTTGCTCCCAATGAACAGCTTATTATCAAAGTCCAACCCTGCAAGGCTTTCCATACAGCTGTGTGAAGGTCCAGAGATGTTGCTTGCCTGGACCTTAGTGAAAGATCAAGGACTTAGTTTATAAGCTCTTTGGAGCAGGATCCTCTGCTATTTTGGGGGCTTTTCTCTGTGACCTTAGGGGACAAGGCTAGAAGCAATGGCTTCCAGCTTCACTAGGGGAAACTGGGTTTGAGATTAGGAGAAACTGTTTGACTCTGAAAGCGGTCAAAGCACTGGAACAGGCTACTTAGAGAAAATGTGCAATTCTTGGCAGTTTTCAAGATCAGGTTAGACAGACACTTGGCTGGGGTGGTTTAGTCAGAGATGACCTTGCCTTGAGCAGGGAATGGACTAGATGACCTTGTGAGGTGCCTTCCAGCCCTACTTTCCTATGAGCTGTAGAAGTATTCAGCTTGCCGTGCTTCTACACAAATGATATTTGCCTAGAATCCTTCCAAAAACACCCGTAATGAAACTCAGAGCGGGATTTTTCCTGGTGTTTTGTTGAAGCTCTTTCTGATCATGGTTCAGGGGTATAGGTTGTAGCCATGTTGGTCTAAGGCAGGGGTTGTCACCGGGGATACGCAAACCCCTGGGGGTACTTGAGAAGGCCCTAGGGGACGGAGCACTGCCATGCACAATCCTGTACTACCGTGCAGGCGCTGTCTGCCTGGCCAGACATGGGGGTTGGGGGAAGCTCACACACAGTGGCTGCCACTGCTCCACATCCAACTACATGACACCCCTCTCCCCCCTGCTTGGCATCTGGGTGCATGCCACCCCCCCATACCACTCAGCGTATGGCCACGTGCCACTTCTCCCCCCCGCACTTGGCGGCCAGGGGTACACTGCCCCACATCCAGCTACCGGGGGGTACAATGAATCAAAGGTTGAAAACCCCACGTCTAAGGGCATAGGCAGACAAGGTTCTTTGGGTAAATCCAAAATCTTTTATATTAGACCAACTAAAATAGTTGGAAAAATACTTCTTTGCAAGCTTTTGGGTACAAACACCCTTCATCAGGCTGAGGAAGCATCAGTATCTGAAAGCTTGCAAAGAAGACTATTTCCAACTATTTTAGCTGGTCTAATAAAAGTTATCAGATTTACCCAAAGAACCTTGTCTGCCTTTCTGATCATGGAGCTTTTTTATTTTACACATGAATTTTGTTCTAGTTTTTTTAAATTTCCCTACAGACAAAGGATGAAGCATGTTTAGTCACGCTTTATTTTAGATGAAAAGAGTGCAAGTTACATTTCCAGAGGAAAGCGTGGTGTCTGCACTGAGCAGGGAGAACAAAATGGCAGCTGAGCTTGGCGCACACAGGGTGAATGCTTAGCAAGATAAAAGTGCAGTATACAGAAAATAAAAGGCAGCACCACTTCAAAGCTTCATGCACCATCTCTGTTACCATTCCTGATAAAAGACACACAAAGGAAAAATCCCTCTGGGATTTTCTACAATTTACATTTTGCTTTGAAATAATCCCCTGGGGTCTGCTGCTTTTTTCAGGTTTCCTTAAACATCCTCAAGCCCTCCTAGTCAAAAGGAATGGCCCACAGCAATGCAGTCTGTAGTACAGACTTGCCAAGGGGCTGGGCAAATTCTTCCAGCCAGAGAGAGGTGCTGTTTTGGGCCATTTGTACGCACCACAAAATTGGCCTTAAAAGTAGCTGCTGCCATGGAGGGAAGCACCAGCACCCTCCCCCACAGCTCAGGGACTGCTCAGCCCACCGGCAGCTTGCCCTCCCCTCCCGGCTGCCAGAGAGGCAGGTAAGGGTCAAACCCAACACTTGTGTACACACCAGGTGGGTTTATTTCGCTCTGAACTGAAGCATTGTTTTTAAAGACTGACAGCTTCAATTTAGGGAGGATTAAACTGAAGTAAACCGCCGTGGCGTGTACAAATGCCCCTAGCTGCCAATTACCTTTCATTAGCTACTGCAAAAGCAAATGTCCCTTTTCATTTCCTTTGCCTGATGCCGAGTGTATTCATCTCCTAACATTGATCTTATTGATTTCATTGGTCTATTGTTACCTGAAGAGTGAAAATCATAGGCAAGAAACTTCTATGGCTGCAAAATGGAAACCAGGGTTTTTGCTATGTCTTACTTTTGACTGATTTATTGGCTAATGGAACGACAGAGTGGAGAACAGGGGGCACATTCCACTTTCTTTCCCAAAGGAGAGATGATACTTGTCATCAGAAAGATAACAGAAGTAGGCCCAGTAACCCTGGCTGTGGAGTCCTGACTGTCCCAAAGGTGTTGCCCTCTGTCTCTGTCTCTGTCTCTGTCTCTCTCTCAGAAAGCCCTTCATACAGCTCTTCTGCTGACAGTCCTGCAGGATGAGAGAGAAGCTGCCTTGGAAGCCAGGTGTCCCTGTACACCACTACAGTCATATGGTGGTTACCGCATGGTTTTCATCTGTAGCCCCCAGTCCAGATAAGTGGTGCAGTGGCTAGCAGTCAGTGACACTGGGCTCTCAAAACTGGCATTTAAAACATGTTGCCCTTGTCAGGGAAATGCTAGGCCGGCAGCTCTCCTCGAGTGACCTCAAATTTCATCCTGTGTGCTCTGCCACATTGTAAATCAGCCTAGTAATATTCTCTCATTCACTGGCCCTAGGCAAGGCATTTCTGTTTGTTTTGACCAGCAAGTGAAATCTCATCCATCATCATTGGGACAAGCCCATTTCCAAGACCGCTGTGTCTCGCTGCTGTAGGTACTGAGCAGCATTTAGGATGATACAGTCCTACAGTAATTTGCATGCTCCCAACACAGAGCTACAATCCTACACTGGAGATTTTAAGGTGATGAATTAATTTAACAGGACAGCAACTAAATCTCTCTTCAGAATACCCCAAAGAATACGTTAGCCTCTGGAGACCTGAGGTCTGATCCTTTAGCTAGATCACAAGTGAAACGAGTTTGATAGGTCTCATGTAGCCCCCACACAAGCACGTTGCCCTGTGTCAAAGCAGGGAGTCAAGGCTCAAATACCTCTGGTGCCCCTGTCAAGTTGGAGACGCGCTGACAAAGCCGAGTGGCGATGCTCACACCATGTCTGGATCAAACCGGGGTTGTCAGTACCTCTCTCTGAGCAGTGCATTCCCTGATGCATGGAATAGCCTCAGACGTGACCTGTACATGGTTTTCAAATACAGTTTTGGGGATGAAGTTGCCCAGAAGGGATCACTCTAAAATAACAGGAGGCAAACTACCTGCACAATCACCTTTAATGCACACAGACTTGTAGTCAATCTCTATCTGCTCAAGCCCTACTGTTTCAATGCTTAGCCGCCAGAGGGCATCAATAATCAGTCCAGCCTTACAGCTCTGCTCTGTTATCTGGTGCCTGCAGAGAGCACCAGCAGCAATAACATCCTGTATTCTCCAGGGATCAGCCAGGGAAAGGATTTCATTAATTTTGCTCCTGGGGAAGATGTTAAAGCCTGAAAATTTGGTACAATTTAAAGAGCTATTTGTAGGTGAAAATAAATGGAGGTTAGAGAACGTGTCAGAAGGATGCATTGCAGATGATTTAATTTTTTTAAGTGCTTTAAAATATTTCGGCTATTCTTTAGCTATTTAAAGGTTCTCAGCAGAAGGGCTGATTGCTGCCGTCCAGCTCCCTAGGGTCTAAGGCTTGGCTTCTGGCAGCAGCAGAAGTTCTCGTGCACCAGTCCCGGGTTGGCACAGACGGTACATGGCCAGAGCTTCAGCTCACCTGCTGCTTCCTGCCGGAGCGAATGGCAAGCCACTTGCCCTCACTGTGCCCCTTCAAAATTGGGACAACACTTGCTTCCCCCAGCCATGTTTTGCTCAGGAAATATCTGTACAGCATCTGGAGGATTTGAAAAGAAAAATGCCAGCTATTGTGTTATTAGAAAGACTGGTAAATTCACTTCTCATTTACCTAAATACAACCCATGGACTGCTGAGGAGATTATGGGGTTTTTCCAATTCTGTTCTATTGAAAACATCCCTGGTTGAAAACTAGATAGGCCAAAATGATCTATTGGGTCATTGAGCATGGACCTGAGCTATCTGCTATATTATGTGTTAAGCACATTTTGGTGCACAGTTGCTTTCCCACTGGTACCATCTATGCTAGGAGACCATCATTTGAGTGAAAACAGGATCATTTTCATTCGGGATGTGTTTCTGAGAGAGCCCTTTCAAACATTTTTCCCCTCCAAAATTGGACCAATTTGATGAATTCTTGAGGGGGTCACAGAGCTGTGATTTCTGGGCTGTCGCAGCTACAACATCACTCTAACACTACTACTATTTCTAGGGGTTGGGATTTTGCTGGTGATATTAAGCATGGTCCCCATCTGCTACTTGAAGACAAAGATCACTTCAATATGAAAAACATCTGGTCATGGAGATTAGCTCAGCGCAGTTTGCTGATCTCACCTTTCTGCCAAGGAATTTCTACGATTTCAGTGTATCTTGATAAAGCTGTTTGTATTTCAGTGTCTGGTGCTGGCAGAGTTGCTTGGGTGTCTGCTTTATGCTGCAGAAAGATAAATGGCATTTTATTTCCCTGACCGCTCCTTTGTGTCCCTCAGGAAGTTTTAGTGCATCTCGGAGGACTGCTGGGAGTAAGGCTGATTGGGAGAAGGAATGGGGAAGATGCTGGGAGTTGAGGCACCTGAGACTGCGGAGGGAAATGAGGAGAATGCAAAGCTCAATCGGGCAAATCAATCACTCTTCACTAGGGAGGCTCCTTTCATCCAGTCCCAGGGGAGCCGTAGGCCAATGTCTGACGGACAGAACGGAAAAAGGACAGAGGTTGCAGTCTCCTAGGCACCAGCTTTTTATATATTTCCTCCTGCTCTTGTTTGTTTGGTTTCTCTAACTATGAATTGGGAATGGGATGTGTGAAGCCTTTTGCCTCCAGGTCATGAGTTCAAACCCAGCTAGGGCTGTAGTGACTGTAAGCCCTTCTCAGTGAATGGGCACCTAGCAGTCTATATGAAATTACCAATGGCTTCTCATCCAATTTCTAGCCTGTCTCTTGTAATCTATCATCCCAGCTAGCTCTTTACAGCAATCTGTAACCTTTACCTACGGGATAGGTGTCCATATTGTAGACTTTGTCCCATTATACATGGACCACTTACTGGAAGTATCAGAAGAGAGAGCAGTGACTGAATGCCTACCAAGATGGAACTGGCCTCCCAGCCACCTCCTTCAGGACAGACAGAAAGAGACTCTTTGGAGGTATCTACATGTGCGCTTTACTGCAGTTGACTAATTAGCTCCATAGTAAAGCATCACCATGAATATGTGTGGTGTTATTAAGCTGAAGTAAACTGATTAACTCCACTGTAGGATAGCACTGCCCAACATATGTACTATCCTACAGGGGTTATTTACTCCATTGAAATGCACATGTAGACACTAGACGGTAACCGGGGCTGTCTGGGGCATGAGGGTGCTACAATATAGGAGCTGCTTGTCAGCTAGCCCCACACTAGAGCACCCTCATGCCTTAGCCAGGCCCTCTGCAGCATGTTGAGCCAGGGCAGAGTGTCCCCAGGCTGGCCGAGTGGCCCTTTGAGCCCCCTGCCAGCCAGGCCTGTGCTGACCTGGCTCAATATATTCCGGTTCCGGGTGCATATGTAAACATTGCTCCCAGGAGCAATAAACTCCGGCATGAACTGCACCAGCATTTATTCAGCCATGCTAACTGCACATGTAGATGCCCCCTGAGGAGTTCACAGTTGTTTGCCAAGGCATTGTGCTACATACACAAGGTGAGAGATACTGGGCGCGTCTACACGAGACACTACTGCGTAGTGGTTACTGCACATTTATTTAGTACTTGTGTAATCAAATACTAAATAAACACACAGTAACCAGAGTTAGTGGCGAATGGCAGTAGCGCTGGCAAATGCCTTTTAAGTGGCACTACTGTGCAGTAGCCTTCTAATACAGCACTGTAGCCTATTAGCACTGTCAGTGCTGTGACGTGCTACTGTGCAGTATTATTTGGCTACTGTGCACTTAGCGACTCATGTAGATGCACCCACTGAGTCAGAGACCTCAGGTGGATTATGTCAAAAGAGATATTTAAAACTTCAGAGGAGCAATTTTGATTTTGTTCTCCAGTCAATGTGAAATTGGTGGATCTGTCTATGGAGGATCCCAGTAGATGCTGCACTAAGCTTATCTCCACTTCTCTCCCTGATGCCTGTCACAGGTAAGGGGAAAATTGGCTGAGACATTGCCATGCTTTCTTCTGGCTCATCTTGATGTATCTGTAGCCTAATGAGGCAAGACAAATATCTCTCTCCGAAGGTGACAGTTCCCCCACCACTGATTTCTTAGTCTCACCAAAAAGTCCTTTTTCTTCTGCATAAATCCTGGCTTTTAGGGGTGTTTTTACATAGCTGCCTCTCACATTCAGTTATTGTTCTTCTAATTTGCTGTCTGGAAAATACCAAGAGTGAATAGTCAATCAGGGCCTTAATGGAAGACACTTGTTTCCTGTTCATTAGTATAAATGAATTGCCACCATAAATCTGAGCTAACTAAGAGGAGGATTTAAGTGTGGTCATAGATCAAGAAGAAGGATAATGCAGTTGATGTTGGTTAATGTTGATGTTGGTGTTGTTCGGTACAGTACAGTACAGTAGCAGGTAAGTCTTTTCTCACATCTCTACAAGTTCCTATAAATGGAGGTCTTCCTTGGCTGATGCCCATTTCAGGAATGTACAGATATTTTTTGGATGAAGTGTAAAATGTTGGCTCAGCCAACTTGGTCTATAATAATCACACAGTCCATTGCACATGAGTTAGGTTATATTGATCCTAGTGCCCTCAGGACATTTTAGCTTGGATAAATACATATTTCTCGCCTAGCTCTTTCTTAGATGGGATTTCAACTGAACACAGCAATCTTTACTACCGGTCCTACCACATTGCAGTATTTGCTACATTTTGCCCTTAGAAATAGTTGTATTTCTTTTGGGAGTGAAGCAATTCCTTAAGAGAGAGAATCCAATTGTGCCCTCAGTTACACCCAGGCAAGACCACTTTATCACAGGGCATAATTCAGTTTCTAATCTGCTCAGAAGGTTTGCTGAGGATTTTAGGAACCCTCTGGATGAGAGACACCAAATAAATGGAATACCTTTTGCAGGTGCCAAAGACTTAAGGTTGCCCAATCTACTTGTGTAGTCATCCAGACCTGTTGAAGCAGATTGTCTTGGCTGTTTCTGCTTTAGGAGGTAGTGGAAGGAGCAATTAGGAATGTTGCAAAACCTAAAGTTGTGTTGAATATTAGCACTTGCTTATAATAAAGTACAAAGAAGGTCTCTGTAGCTCAGGGGTGATTATCTGGTCCTAGGAGTGGTGAGGTCCCTTGGGGCAGCCAAAGCATGAGGGGAAGTGTTCAAAGGATGGAAAAGTGCCCAATTCTTACTTAAAGTCAGTGGGAGTTGCCCATCTACCTTACATCTGAGCCTTCAGACATCTCCCTTGATGGCTGGGAGAAGCAGTAGTTCATGATGTTGTCTGTTTTTAGCTAGGCAGAAGAAGGTGGCAGTGTGATGGAGAGGAGAACCAACAAGGGATGTGGAAGGAATGGGTTCTTCCTAAGTAATAATTGCTCTCCTGCTTGAAGCATGCCAGACTGACCCTGGCAAAGTGAAAGTGCTGCCTCAGGCCAGCCCCTGGAGTGAACACATGCCAGAGATGCTGTGATTTTGGCTCTTTCCTAATACATCCCAGCTGTGTGAATATCAGTGTTCCTTTTCTAGGGGTGCCCCTAATCATAGCCCTGAATGTTTGTCTTCTGCTTGCTAGTTGAGTGTCTTTATAGAAACCATAAGGTCCTCATTGGCCTTCCTTCTGCAAGGTGACTTCGCCCACTCTATGCATCCATATCTTATGGGCTGGACTTTGTCAGTGCAACATGAAGTGAGAAATAAGCAGTAGCTGTAGGTGATCAAAGGAAGATCCTGTTTTCCCTGGGGGTTTCTGGCATCGAGACACTGCATCTCTTTTTAATAATGTCCAGCTTTGTGCAATGTTCTTTAATAGTGGAGGATTTTTAAATAGACCCTCAGTTCCTAGTTCAAAAAGAAGTTTAGGGCTTCTTTCTCTTGTAAGTAAAGTAAAATTATGCTTTGTGTTCGATCACTCAGCGTAGTGCTGTATTACAGTAGCAGGCACAAAGCTGGACATTATTAAAAAGGGATGCAGTGTCTCGGTGCTTTTTTGGTCTGGGCAACTTGCTTAATAAACAAAGGTTGTCCTCCTCAGAAACAGTATGCACTGGAAACAGGCCCTGGAGGGGAATCAATTGAGTGAAAGAAATCGAGCTGCGTTTTCCTCCGAGACTTCTCTTTTGGCTGCTTTGGCTTGTTGAGTGCCAATCACAAACCCAACAGCAATAATGAACCTCTCCCTCCTATCTTCAGGGCCAGAGGATTCAAGCTGCATCAAGGGCAGGCTGACCTGCAGCCTGCCTTGGAGGATGAAAGGCAAGGCCATGTTATTGGCAGCATCTTTGGGATTAGGAAATGCCAAAGGCTAGAAAGCATCAAATATGATTAAAAAGTGATTACGGCTGACTTTAAAGAGCAGGACTCAAGCAAGAAAATCCTGCAATGAAGATGGGGATTTCTCTGCTTGCTTTCTGTGGTGAAATCACTAGAGGTGGGAAAGACAATGACAGATACTATCTATATTACCCAGATCTTGGGGACTCTGCTTGATATAATTTACCTCCAATTTATTTGAAATGAAATTAGTCTTGCTGAAAAGGATTGGACTGAGAGCAATAGAAACTAAATCCCACCCAGCCCAGGCAGCATGGAGCAAGCAGGGATAAGGTTGGCTTCCTCCACATTGCTGGTTGCCTGTATGTCTCAGCACTCATTGGGTGGGATGCGTCTTTAAGAATGAAGCCAATACACTTTAAAACTCATTTTAAACCAGGGCTAGTTTTCCTTTGTCAGCTTCAGCCTAACTTCTTGTTATTTCCGTAGCTGTTTTAGGCCTTGGTAACTGTTCTGTAGGTCAGATTCTGTGCTTTGCTACAGGACAGTCAGCCTGATCCAGGGGAAAGAGGCAAAGCTCTAGGCTATCTTTGAATTCTCTAGATTCTGGGTTGAAATAACTCTTGAGGTAAATTAGGGTAGTGCTAGTGATGGGCTACAGGCCCAGGCCAGAATCCCCGGCACATTGAGCACTATAACTTCTTCTCTTTGTGAAAGCATCAGGTTCACTCCAGCCCAGCCACCATTGGCATCTGCCTTCACTACACCTGCACTGTAGACCCCCAGTTAGTTCCTATTATCTTGACAACATCTTCAGGATGAGGCTGTGATGACTGTGTGACTTATTCCCTCCTGCTTCAGCTTCATTTCCAAAGAGAACCTCAAGTCCTAGAGTGTGGTGCTATTCAGCGCAGCAATGTCCCAAGATAAAGAGCAAGGAAATGCTGCGGAGAAAATGGTGCAAATCAGGGCCGAGTTGCCTGGCTCAGAGATTGGTGAATGCACAGGGATGGGGTGAGAGGCACTCCCCTGTGTGCTGAACATAGAAGTCATGAAGGCAGAGTGGCAGGTATGTGCTAACACGTCACTAAGCCGACCGCTTATTAAACCGAGTGATGGAATAAACACAATAAGTCTCTCTGGGAGGGGTGGCTGTTGAGGATACTCTATTCTCTTCTCTGAGTTTGGGAAATGCATGGGAAAAGTTCCAAAGTGTTACACAGTGTTTTGATGATGGAATTTAATTTACTGTGACATTACTGTAGATTTATACCCATGCAACCTCTGATAAAACTGGAACAATGCAATGGAGAGTCATGGGCGTGGGCTTCAGGCCTGCTTCAGCCATCTCTGGGAGAAGTACGTCTCTTTTTGAAATGCTGCTCTGAAAACAATTAGGCTTGTGTTTTCAGAAACAGCAGGTATGTGGACACCACTAGTTGGGACAACTCTAAAAGTTGCCCTCAACTACCCCAGACTATACCAACTGTTTCTCATTTGCTTACCTTGCTGCTCTGCACAAGGAAACCACTAAAGGAAAGAGGAGTAGTGGATGAACTGATTCCAAAAAAGGTTCCACAAGGGAGTAATAGGAACCCAAATGGAGCCCTTCAAGGAATCACACACCCAACTTGTCTCATTTTCCATGCTTTGCTTTTACTGTAGGCAATAGACACAGGCAGTTGGGTGCAGAAAGGCAGCTGCTACACTTCCTGTGATTCCATCTTGCTTAGCTCAGGGCAGTTCTGGACACACAGCTGGGAAAAAAGGATGGAGCAAAGCTAAGCCTTGACATGTGATGCTCAGCAGAGCTTTTAGAGCAGGGATGGCCAGGGAAGCTGATCAAGCAGGGAGCACAGGGCATGGAGCAGAAAACGGAGCAGCAGATTGAGCAGAGGAAGGGAATCAGAGTGGCACTTGGAGATGGTACAGGGTCTAATTTGCAGCACAGCTGCCAAAAATATTGGCCCCCACTATTCTAGAGTAGACGTGTTCAACTGTAGGCCCACATGCCAGATCTGGCTCCTGATGCCATGTCACTTGGCCTGCAGGATTCCCCACAGGTCTGTGGAGAGCCATGTGGGCCATGGCCATTCCTGCTAGATAGGGCATGCAGGGAGGCACCAGGCCTAATCCCAGCATGTGGGACCAGGCAGAGGCAGTGCAGGGCCCCCAGGGCCTGATCCTGGCAGGCAGAGGCAGTGCAGGGCCCCCAGGGCCTGATTCTGGCAGGCAGAAGTAGCACAAGGCCCCCAGGGCCCAATCCTAGCATGCAGGGTCCATGACCGGCCCTGAGCCTCTCATTGGCCTGGAGAGCCAGAAGGCTAGGTGCCGCTATTCTAGAGAATGGCCGGATGGCTGCCAGAACCCAGCTTTCAGGGCTTTAATGTAGACGGTCAGTGGGTTGGTGCTAGATAGCAGGCCTGGGGGTGGGCCTAATTAGCGGTGTCACATACCCTGGGATGGGGCTTCATGCTTGTGTGTGCTGGTAGGCAAGGGACACATACCAACTCTGATATTCTTGATGATAGTATATCATAGCTGAGATATTCATGGGATCATAGACATCAAAGCTCTCTCATCATTCCTCTGCTCA